AATAATAAAAATGATTGGTCAAACTAAGAAGTAATTTTTTTTCACACTGCTTTTTTATATGGCATTTCTAACAAAAAATTCAATAATACTAGTGGTTGGATGTATGGCTAACTGTAGTAACACTTCTGGTAAGTAAACAGTACATTTCCTTATAGAGATTTATGCACCAGAACAGAAAGAGGAACAAATAGGAGTAAAGAGGGACAGAGGGATTCGGTTCCAAAAGAGGGACAGTCCCTCCAAATCAGGGAGTTAGAAGCTATGCCTAAAAGCACAAAAAATGCTTAGCTTGTGTTAACATCCATTATTCCCCCTGTCAAAGTGCTGCTGTACAGGGAGATTACAGGGGTCGATTTTCAAGACAAATTTGAATACTTACACTAGATTTATTTAAGTTAGTTTTTTATGACTATGTAACTGCCTGTTTTGTTTTTTATATCTGCTTGGAATCAGCTTTTACCATACAGGGCAAGAGAGCTTAAGGAGCTGTCCAGTGCTGATCCAGAAATGTTGCATAGACACTAGATATGTGCATTTTGTTTCATAATGTATATGAATCTCCAAAATGGAGATAGAAACGAATGTCAACAAATCTGAAAAAAGTTATAATATAAATTAACAAATTATTATATTATTATTATTATACAGGATTTCATATAGCACCAAACAGTTTGCTCAGCACTTTACAATATAAAGGGAGAGAATACAGCATACGATACAGTTCAGTACAAGAACTGTTATCCTTTGAGTTTATATCTAGGAGGGAGGGGCTGGTGGTACAAAAGGTAATAACTGTGGGGGATGGACTGGTAGAAGGAATAGAAGATTCGGTTATCAGCTGAAGGCACAGGATAGGCTTCTTCCTGAAGAGACAGGTTTTCAGAGATAACCTAAAAGTCAGACGCGCAGACATTTTCCCCATTTTTGGGGGGGAAAAAGTGCATCTTACGGAGTGAAAAAATACAGTAAACTAAGATACAGATTTATTTAATTGAGCATTAAGGCTTTTTAAGCAAGCAAGAAGCAAGCTACACCAAGAAGAGACATTAAAATAATCTGTCAGGAAAGTGTAATATAAAACAAAGTCTTACACACATCATTTACACAATAGCTTTCCATATAAGACACAAGAACCTGTACGAATACATTCATTGCATATGTTTTTGTAGAACTAAAATATATCCATTTTAACAGCTTATTCAGTACACACCATTAATCATTTAAGATGTGGGTTCATTTTCTGTACACAAATGTAGAAGTCTGAAAAATGGCACCTGTTAAACTTAATATACATTTACTGTATTGCTGTGAATAATGCATGAAATGGAACTCGGGAAAAGGACGTTGTTGCAAGCATGTCAGCACTTCAGACATACTGTAGACTCCAACAGACATCCTTCACACAAAGATGTACTAATGCCTCCTGGCACGTCGCTGTAAACATGCAGGTCTGCAGTGTCTGACAGGGGAATATATATATAATATATAGACTCTGAATAATAATTGATGACTGTTTGTAAAGATGAATATATTTCTTCCCCAGTTTAAATGTCTAGTAAACATGAATTACGAATAGCATTATAAATTGAAAACCTTCAATAACATTTACAAATACTGTACGTATGTAAAAGGTTCAAGAGCTTATTAGGGCTGAAAATAATTAGGATAAAGGTTATACTATGAATGCAGCTATTCATATATACACACTTGGCTTTATTAACGTTATGCAGTACAAGACAACTGCTACTTGTATAGTGCCATCCTAAATAGGTTGCAGTTAGGTTAGGTAAATTGAATTGGTTTGGCTCCCCTGTAATCAGGAGCAGCTTCTGATTACTTTCGGCTGCTCTGCGTTTCACTGGTTGTTGGTTTGACTTTCTTCCCCTCGTCTTCTGGAGGATGCTGGAATCTGATGGGCTGGGAGATTCAAATCTACAGCCTGAATATTTATGTGGTCCCAGCCAATCCCTGGTGAAGGGTGCCCAAAATGTGCCTGGGGGGAAGGCATACAAAGTCTGAGGCTTAGAGCAGGGGAGGTTCTTGTCCAGGAGGAGAGTTTCCAACCTGAAGGTGTCAGGAATGGACTCAGCACTGGTGGTGGGACTCACCTGCCGTGTGGGCTGCAGTACCAGGGCTGACCAGCGGGTGCTCTCAGCAGCCAGAAGCTCACTCCTGCAGTCAGCCAACACCTGGGGCTGATTGCAGGAGGTGTATTTAAGGAATGACCAGGCCTGTGATCAGTGCCTTGGTGTATGTTTCCCATGAGCCCCTGTACCATGTATCCTGTGTTCCTGTTCCTCTGCCTATCTGATTTGTTGCCGACTCTGCATTGTTCCTGACCCTGCTGACCGTCTCCTGTTTAACCCCTGGCTTGCCTGACCATCCTTCTGCCTGATCCTCTGTACCGTGCTGCCCGTGAGTTACTGAAACCCGGCTTGTGACCCTGACCATTCTCTGCCTGATCCTCTGTACCACACAGCCCGTGAGTTCCTGAACCCGGCTTGTGACCCTGACTATTCTCTGCCTGCTCCTTTGGTACCTCGCTGCCCGCACGTTGCTGACCTGGCCTGCCTGACTACGCCTTACGCTACCCAGACGATCCATCCATCCTGCACGGATCCAGCCATCCCTGCTCACACCTTCTGCCTCTTCACATCAGGTGTCAGAGCTCCCGGGTGTGACCAGAGGTGTGTGACTGACGCAGGGAAATGCAGACTTCAGATATGTTATAAACAATGTAATTTATTAACACTAACAATACAAACATAAACGCAGTGCAATACTAAAACAGAACACAGTGCAAACAAACCAAACCAAACCACCCACAGATAACAGTACATACAATGCAAGCGTCGTCAGGCAGGCCGGGTCAATATCAATCGGGCAGGTAGGTACAGGGGGGAGCAAGCGGAGAATGGTCGGGGTCACAAGCCAGGTTCAGCAGGTAGCGGGCAGCGTGGTACAGAGGGTCAGGCAGAGGAGAATGGTCAGACAAGCCAGGGATCAGGAGCAGGAGAATGGTCAGACAAGCCAGGGATCAGAGCAGGGTCAGCAGAGAATCAGACAGGAACAGGAACAGGAAACAGGGCCCAGGAGAAAACACAACATCAAGGCAGAGTCTGCAGGTCTGAATGTCCCTTAAATACACCAGTATAATTAGTTCCAGGTGTTTGAATGGCTGCAAGGTTGAGTCTCTGATTGCTGGGAGCACCCGTTGGCCAGCCCTGGTACTGCAGCTCATAAGGCAGGTGAGTCCCCACTATTGCTGGCCAGTCCATTCCTGACAGTACCCCCCCTCAAGGAGCGGCCTCAGGATGCTCCAAACAGTCCTAGCTGGGCAAAATGTTCCACCACCGCCCGGGTCTGGTAACTGGCGGGATATCAAAGACTGGCACACCGGGCAGGACTCCGGGCAGCGGCATACTGGGCAGAGGCAAGGCACACCGGGCAGAGGCACATCGGGCAGAGGCACATCGGGCTGGACTCCGGGCAGAGGCACATCGGGCTGGACTCCGGGCAGAGGCACATCGGGCTGGACTCCGGGCAGAGGCACATCGGGCTGGACTCCGGGGCAGAGGCACATCGGGCTGGACTCCGGGCAGAGGCACATCGGGCTGGACTCAGGGCAGCGGCATAACCGGGCAGAGGCACTCCGGGCAGAGGCACATCGGGCTGGACTCCGGGCAGAGGCACATCGGGCTGGACTCCGGGGCAGAGGCACATCGGGCTGAACTCCGGGCAGAGGCACATCGGGAGATTACCAGGTGAAGCAGCAGGCACCGGGCCCCAGGCGGGGCGACAGGCATCGGGCCCCCAGGTGGGGCGACAGCATCGGGCCCCCAAGCGGAGCGGCGGGCGCCGGGCCCCCAGGAGGGGCGACAGGCATCGGGCCCCCAGGCGGGGCGACAGGCATCGGGCCCCCAGGCGGGGAGACAGGCATCGGCCCCCCGGTGGGGCAACAGGCATCGGGCCCCCAAGCGGGCGGCGGGGGGCAGGGCCCCCAGGAGGGGCGACAGGCATTGGGCCCCAGGCGGGGCGACAGGCATCGGGCCCCCAGGAGGGGCGACAGGCATCGGGCCCCCAGGCGGGGGGCGACAGGCATCGGGCCCCCAGGCGGGGCGGCGGGCGCCGGGCCCCCAGGCAGAGCAACAGGTCTCGGGCCCCCAGAGCGGGGAGCGGCGGGCGCCGGACCCCCAGGCGGAGCGACAGGTCTAGGGCCCCAGGTGGAGTGGCAGGGCCGCCGGACCCCCAGGCGGAGCGACAGGTCTCAGGCCCCCAGGCGGAGCGACAGGTCTCAGGCCCCCAGGCGGAGCGGACAGGTCTCAGGCCCCCAGGCGGAGCGACAGGTCTCAGGCCCCCAGGTGGAGCGACAGGTCTCAGGCCCCCAGGCGGAGCGGCGGGCGCCGGACCCCCAGGCGGAGCGGCGGGCGCCGGACCCCCAGGCGGAGCGACAGGTCTCGGGCCCCCAGGCGGAGCGGCGGGCACGAGTCACCAGGCACGACAGTGGGCTCCGAGTCAACTGGCAAGACTGCGGGCACCGAGTCAACTGGCAAGACTGCGGGCACCGAGCCAACTGGCGGAACTGCGGGCACCGAGTCGTCTGGCAAGACTGCGGGCACCGAGTCGTATGGCAAGACTGCGGGCTTCGAGTTGTCTGGCAAGACTGCAGGCACCGAGTCGTCTGGCAAGACTGCGGGCACCGAGTCGTCTGGCAAGACTGCGGGCACCGAGTCAACTGGCAGGACAGCGGGCACCGAGTTGTCTGGCAAGACTGCGGGCACCGAGAGTCGTCTGGCAAGACTGCGGGCACCGAGTCACCTGGCGGAACAGCGGGCATCGAGTCAACTGGCGGAACAGCTGGGCACCGGGTCGTCTGGCAAGACTGCGGGCACCGAGTCGTCTGGCAAGACTGTGGGCACCGAGTCATCTGGCAAGACTGCGGGCACCGAGTCAACTGGCGGGACAGCGGGCACCGAGTCGTCTGGCAAGAATGCGGGCACCGAGTCATCTGGCAAGACTGCGGGCACCGAGTCGTCTGGCAAGACTGCGGGCACCGAGTCAACTGGCAAACAGCGGGCACCGAATCGTTCTGGCAAGACTGCGGGCACCGAGTCAACTGGCAAGACTGCGGGCACCGAGTCGTCTGGCAAGACTGCGGGCACCGAGTCAACTGGGCGGACAGCGGGCACCGAGTCGTCTGGCAAGACTGCGGGCACTGAGTCGTCTGGCAAGACTGCGGGCACGAGTCACTGGCGGAACAGCGGGCATCGAGTCAACTGGCGGAACAGCGGGCACCGAGTCGTCTGGCAAGACTGCGGGCACCGAGTCGTCTGGCAAGACTGCGGGCACCGAGTCGTCTGGCAAGGACTGCGGGCACGCGGTCGGTCTGGCAAGACTGCGGGCTTCGAGTCGTCTGGCGGAAACAACTGCGGGCATCGAGTCAACTGGCGGAACAGCGGGCGACCGAGTCGTCTGGCAAGACTGCGGGCACCGAGTCACCGAGTCGTCTGGCAAGACTGCACCGAGGGCACCGATCGAGTCAACTGGCGGGACAGCGGGCACCGAGTCGTCTGGCAAGACTGCGGGCACTGAGTCGTCTGGCAAAGACTGCGGGCACCGAGTCACCTGGAGGAACAGCGGGCATCGAGTCAACTGGCGGAACAGCGGGCACCGAGTCGTCTGGCAAGACTGCGGGCACCGAGTCGTCTGGCAAGAAGACTGCGGGCACCGAGTCAACTGGCGGGACAGCGGGCAGTCCGAGTCGTCGTTGGCAAGGACTGCGGGCACCGAGTCGTCTGGCAAGACTGCGGGCGTTGGCACCGAGTCAACCTGGCGGAACAGCGGGCATCGAGTCAACTGGCCAAACAGCGGGCACCGAGTCATCTGGCAAGACTGCGGGCACCGAGTCGTCTGGCAAGACTGCGGGCACCGAGTCAACTGGCAACGAGGCTGGACAGACTGCGGGCACCGAGTCGTCTGGCAAGAGACTGCGGGCACCGAGTTGTCTGGCAAGACTGCGGGCACCGAGTCACTGGCGGAAACAGCGGGCATCGAGTCAACTGGCGGAACAGCGGGCACCGAGTCGTCTGGCAAGACTGCGGGCACCGAGTCGTCTGGCAAGGACTGTGGGCACCGAGTCAACTGGCGGGGACTGCGGGCACCGAGTCGTCTGGCAAGACTGCAGGCACCGAGTCGTCTGGCAAGACTAGCGGCACCGAGTCGTCTGGCTAAGACTGCGGGCACCGAGTCAACTGGCGGGACGAGTCGTCTGCAGCGGCACCGAGTCGTCTGGCAAGACTGCGGGCACCGAGTCGTCTGGCAAGACTGCGGGTACCGAGTCAACTGGCGGAACAGCGGGCATCGAGTCAACTGGCGGAACAGCGGGCACCGAGTCGTCTGGCAAAGGACTGCGCGGCACCGAGTCGTC